TGTTAACTAGCCTTATTGTGGTAATTATTGGGTTGTCGGAAAAGTCAAGACGTATTTTTTCTGTTTTTTGCAAAAATGCGACATGACTGTTCCGACAACACAATATTTTGCAATCATCATGTTGTACACTTTTACCTTTCACAATGTTATGCTAACTATATATCAATAAAGTTGGAGGTAAAATGTAAATGTATTAAACGCCCCCAATAAAAATGCAGGGATTGACAGTCTAGAATTTTTTTAAGGCTCCAATTACTCACTATATACAAAAAGCATGCTTTAAATATAAAAGAGACAGACTGAAAGTGAAAAGATGGGAAAAGATAAATACATACAAACAGAAGGAAGCTGGCTTAGCTGTATTAATATCAAAGTAGACCTTAAGAAGAGTACTGTGAGAAATAGAGAGGGGCATTTTATACTGATCAAAGGTTCAAATTCATAAAGACCTAACAATTAAAATACAAATATGTACCTAATAAAAAAGATTCCAAATACATAAAACAAAAATTGGCAGAGTTAAAGACAGAAATAGACAAATCCAGAATCACAGTTCAAGATGTTAATGTTCTCTCAGAAAATGATACAACAAATAGACAAAAAAAAATCAATAAGAACACAGAATATTAGAACAACACATCAATTGGACCTAACAGGTATTTATAGAAAACTATACCCAACAATAACAGAGTACACATTTTTCAACTGCATAGGAACATTCACCAAGATAGATCATATGCCAAAGTACATTCTCTAACCACACAGAATTAAATTAGAAATCCATAATAGAAAGATCTGAGCCTTTCCCAACCTTTAGAAATTAAACAATTTACTTCCCAGTAATCCACTGGACGAAGGAAACTACTACAGGAGAGAGTTTAAAATATTCAAACTAAATGATAATGAAAATATACATCAAAATTTGTAGGATGCAGCTAAACAGTGCTTTTGGCTTAGAGAGAAATTTACAGCTTTAAATGACTATGTAAGAAAAGACGACAGGTGTATAATTGATGATGTACGTTTTTACATTAATAAGCTAGAAAAAGTAAAGCAAGTAAGTAGAAGAAAGGATATAATAAAATTAAAAGCAAAAATCAAGTGAAGAAAAAATGGACAAAAAGTACAAAAAAAATCAACAAAGAACTTAACTTCATGTGACTTTGAAACTGACTACAATTCTACAGCAATCAAGACAGAGGTGTTTGTAAAAGGATAGACAAATGTATCAAATAGAATAGAGTCCAGAAATAGAGCCACATTGCCAAGATAATCCAATGGAGAGAGTAAAATCTTTTCAATAAATGATGAACAATTGGATATACTTCTTGAGAGAGAAAAACAAAAACATAGTCTCCAGTCTCACACCATACACAAAAATCATAGGTCTAACAGTAAAGGCAAACTATAAACCTTTTAGAAGAAAACACAGGAAATGTTTCATGATCTTTTTAGAGAAGATACAGAAAGCACTAACCATAAAACAAAAATTTAATAAATTGTATTTCAGCAAAACAAAAAACTGATAAAAAAAATCATTAAAAAAATGAGCTGGCCCGCTGGAAACTGAGGACAGTTCTGTAGCAGGTCAGGCCTGGTGGGCGCTTGCTAATCTTGAACTAAAACAACCATTTATTTTATTCAATTCTATTTTTAAGGCAAACTTTTTGAGTTATGGCAGGGTTTTTACTGTAATTAAAATAACGCTACTTCCTCACTGCTTCTAAACGGATGGTAATTCACTGTTGGAAAATAGGCATCTTTGAATTGAAAAGTCTGATGAAACTTCCTGACTTTTCAGCTACAGCTTCCAAATTACACGCCCTTTTTTAACCTCTGAGATGCAGATATCTTTATTGATCATAAGACTGGATAAAGTTTGTTTTCCATTCTATTCACTTTTCTAATTTTTAATAACAACAAAAAGAAAAAAAACTTTAAGGGCAATTTTGTTTATTCCCAGAGTTGAATGTGTGTCGGCTCAGAGTTAATATAATAGTGCCAATCTCTACCTATACTCAATTTAATGTTGATTACCCAGCAGTGCCTCTGTTCCCAGTGTTCATTATGTTCAAAGTTCTCCAAAGGATGCTAGGCTTCAATTAACATTAAGTAAGGCTCTGAACACTCAACATCTCCTAAATAGCTGTTAAGAATCTGCTTCTTGAGACTTATCTACATAAGACTGGCATTTCCAAAGGCAAACCATCCTTCTCTCATAAACTCATTTCAATGGCATGAGTGTCCTGGTGTCCTGACACTCATCAGAGAGTCATCAGTGTCCTGGTGGCCTGCTGTTGTTCCAGCAATAGCTATTGGAAAATATGTAAGGTCATACCTTAGGGCTTCAATAATCTCTGTGACATTCTTCACCACCACCACCCTACTGAACATAACAGGAATCAAAAACTGGCCCATCGAACCTCATTATGTTTTTAATATCTTGTTGTAAAATTAGTTCTTGAGACTCCGACTGGAATACAAAATTGCCATGTATAGAATTTACACATTTGGTGATGGGGTGGGGAGTTATCAACTGTGTGAGGGGTGTAAATGTCTAACTATTACTTTGCTTTGTACACCTGAAACTAATTAAAAAAATAAAAAGAATTTACACACACACACACACACACACACAAATGAGCTGGCAAGCCATAGACTAGATGAAAATATACACAATATCAAGAAAATATTGTGTTGTAGGAAAAGTCATGACGTATTTTTTCTATGTTTGTTGTTGCAAAAATGCGTCATGACTTTTCCAACAACCCAATATTTGTTTTTTCCCTCTTTGGCTGCTTGAGGGTCGGCCGCCATCATGAACGACACAGTAACTATCCGGACCAGGAAGTTCATGACCAACAGAACACTTCAACAGAAACAAATGGTCATGGACGTCCTTCGCCCCGGGAAGGCAACAGTACCTAAGACAGAAATTTGGGAAAAACTGGCTAAAATGTACAAGACCGCACCAGTTGTCATCTTTGTATCTGGATTCAGATAGTGGTGGATCTGCCACGATTTATGATTCCTTGGATTATGCTTTGAAAGAACACAAACGTACACTTGTAAGACCTGGCCTGTATGAGAAGAAAAAGACCTTGAGAAAAAGGAACTCAAAAACAGAACGAAGAAAATTAGGGGGACTGCAAAGGCCAACGTTGGTGCTAGCAAAAAGAAGGAATAAAGATTTGTCGGTTACTTTATCTGTGGTGATTGAGCAGATTTTTCACGAGAGGACTAATAAACCAAGAACTTAAAAAAAGAGAATATATTTAGTTTTTTAAAAAGACACTTCACAAAAGAAAATTATACAAATGGCTAAGAATCACATTTAAAAGTGCTTAACATCATTAGTAATCAGAGAAATACAAATGTCAACCACAATGAGATATCACTACAAACACAGAATTGTGCAGTGGTTCTCAATAGAGAGGTTAGCAATTTTGACCTCCAGGAGACATTTTCAGTTATTATTGGCACTTAGAATGCCACTAAATATCCTACAATGCACAGGACTGTCCCACATAAAGAATTATGCTGCCCAAAATGTCAATGGTGGCAAAATTGAGAAACCCCCAATAATTGGAATGAAAGAGGCTAATAACATCAAATGTTGGTGAAGATGTAGAGCAACTGGAACTCTGATGCATTGCTATCAAGTATGCAAAATGGTTCATTCACTTTGCTGTTTGACAAATGCTACCATAGTAAGTGTAAATGGCTTCTCGTTAAATTAAAGGCTGACATGGCCAACATGTTGGATCTAGACCCAGTCTACTCCAGCCTCATCTCCCAGTTAAGAGAGATACAAGGATGATTTGGTATTAAGAAATTTTTCAATAAAGTCTACTTAATTTTACACTCAGATATCTTAAAAATTGTAAGACAAAAACAATCTTGACATAATTTAGTCCAAATTATTCCCTAAAGCAGCAATAGTAATACATTCCTGACAGTGAAACATCTACTGTTTCTTCACAATAAACACTAACAGTCATGGCAAAATCTCTTAGATCTACTTGCTACAAACTAGAGAAACAACAGATGTTATATAAGTGATGGTCCTTGACTCTTTTTGTAAACCATTACAGAGTTACTCATGTTGGCTTAAGAAACATACATTTAGGTGGAAAAAATTAATATAACAGTTCAGAAAGATACTATATGTTTATTAATACTACAACTCATTTCACAAAATGGAGTTGGATGAAAATCTACAAAAATAGCCTAAATTGGGACTATTCAATAAAAATATAATGCAAACTATAAATGCAAGCCACATATGCAATGTTAAAAAAGTAAAAAGATGAATAACTTTGATATTTCCTTATATATACAAGTATATGCACATATATTATGTATAGAATATGCAAAATAGTTAACATATCCAAAATATTATTTCACTATGTAATCAACATAAAAAACTGTATTTTTTTTTGTATTAAGTCTTTGAAATCTAATTTGTATTTTACATTTACAACATATCTGAATTTAGACTGAGCCACATTTTTAGTGCTCAAGAGCCACATGTAGCTAGTGGCTACTGGATGCTAATGCTGCTTATTACATGACACACTTCTTAGCATTTTACATGGAATATTTCATTTAATCCTCCCCGTGACACATACAGGATAAAGTAATTTGCTCAAGTTCTCACAGTTAGTGGTAGAATCAGGGTTCTAACTCAATCACCATAACTCAGATCTCCTGCTCCAAACCACCATGCTATCTATCTCACCTCAAATCAACCTTTTTTTTTTACAGTTTGAATGAAACTCTCAGTGAACCAAATTAATAAATTGATTCCTGCTTTGATATTATATATTCATTTTATGGAAACTTAAATTTCTGGTGACATAAAAAGACTGATTTCCCCCCATGATTTAAAATCTGAAAGAACAGACTTACCATTAATATGAGTTTTTGATACTTTTGCTTTAGGTCTGACATACTTGCAGATGGGTTTGCTCCCAGAATGCTGTACCAATCTTTTTTTGGTATCTGATCAAATGCCATCATCCATTGAACAAGAAGTGGGCCTTCTTGCATCAGCTGAATAGAAATATTGATGACAATTCATTAAATTCATTAGTTTGTATGTATCTAAGAAATAAGCAACTACAGCTTTTCAAAGTTCTTAAATATTTAGATATGTAGTTGATTAAATCATAATTATAATGCAAACCTGATGAAGTTATATTTTTGTTTAAAACTCAAGAATTTCACATATTAGAGTACAGACGAGTATAGGAAACCTATTAGATGTTTCATGCTACATGCTTATATCTTAAATGAATATAAAACAGCATTAAAAAGATAGAATTCGATAATGACCCTGAGTGACGGACGACCCTCTAAAGAAGGTATTTCTGCTAGTCTTACGGTAAACGCAGCACACAGTAAGTACTCACTAAATACACAGGAGGATCTTAATAAATGTTTACAAAACCAATGATTAAAAATAAAAACAAAAAAGCAAAACACTAAAGAATTACAATGAATTTGGGAGCATTCCTTCTTAAATTTTCCAGTTCACTTCTTTTCCTCCAGTTTACCTTGAAAGAATATGAGAAATAGCCAATCAACACCCGGAGGTAGCGAGTAAGAGTCCCTCTGTTATTAGGGAGGCGCTCAGATCTCGCAAAGAATCCCCGAAACTGTCCACTCGAGGATACTCCTGTTCTCTATGCAACAGGAGAGAGACCACGCCAGGAACCCCCCGAAACCAGGCAACCTCTGCCCATAGCTGTAAACTCAGCTAGACAGCCAGGGCCTGCTCAAGATTGGGACTTGGGAATCCACTGGATTCACAGGCGGCTCTATCGCTCAGCCATAGGAGGGTACCCTCTCCTGGCTTCAACTGAAATCAAACTTACCAAACTTCACAGGGCAATCAGAATCTACTCCCTGCCAGCGGTCGGCCAAAACTCGGACCCGGCGTCTTCTTCCGCCGGAAGTCATTGCTCTGAGGCGCCCAGGTTTCTAGTCGAGCTGCAGTGGCCGAGACACCGATCGGAAGCGTCGCTCCGCCCGCCGGGACGCGGTCGCCATAGTAACCAGTCGCCGCTTCCAAGGAGTTTACAAGCAGTAAGTGCCCGAGCGGTGGAAAAAAGCGTCTTTTTCGTTCTAAATTCCCTCATGTCCCAGCTCCGCGACTGTCGCTTCTCTCTTTTTCCTCAGCGAGCACTCCCCCGAGGCTTCCTCCGCCTTCTCCAAAGCTTCCTCCTCCAACCCTACCCAGCGCTGCTCCCAATCCTTTTGTGGTTGGTCAGTGTCCTAACCGCGGAGGGTAGGGTGGTGGGGGGTGGGGATCGGGGTGTTATGTGAGGCGGGGGTGATGAGAAGGCTGAGGAAAACGGATTCCTCGCACGTCCCTATACTTCCCTTGGAATGTTCTCTTTCAAAAATTAAGAGAACTAAAACCTAGGCCAAGTAAAGTTTTTCTTTTCAGTTTAATTTTTTTTTCTGGAAAAGACGTTCAATCTAATTGCTTTTTTTAAATCTTAGCAACTGGCTTACAAAGTTAAAAAAAAATTATCAAAGTCCTTTCATATTTACTATCTCGCTTTATCTTGACTTCAGTGAGGCAAGTAAGACAAGGTGTTATTATTCCCACTTTGTAGTCAAGGAAGCGAACCAAAGATCGAGCCCAAATAGCTAAGTGGAGAGCAGCAG